GTCCCCCACCTTGGCGCCCGAGAGGCCGCTAGACGACCCAACAGCACCAAGGGGTCTTTGGCTGATCGAGTAAGTTCAGGCCTTGGCGAAAGAGTCACATATCCTGAAAAGGATTGGGGCTCGACAGCCCCCCAGGGTGGTAGCACCTCGCCACCCTCGGGGATAGAGATTCTGGACCAACCGCTTGTGTGGTGGGAAGGGAGGCAAGTGATCCGTATCTCGTAGGATGTTGGGGGGGGGGAGAGGCGGAGGGAGCGGGAGCAGGACGCACTCGAGAAGACCATCTGGAGGGCGGGACGGGTACAGGAGGTGTCGAGGTCAGTAGTGCGTCCCCGGGCGGGTCCATCTGGAGCGGAGGGCGAGGAGGAGAGGTCGGAGCTGATGAGGTGGGAGGGGGTGGACGAGAGAGGGCGAGAGAGAGAGGAACGGACTGACTGCACAGCCGACGCCTGCGAAGCCGAAGAAGGGAGCATAGGCAGGGCACAGCTCGGTGGCCATGGTTGCTCGTCGAGGTGCGGAGAGGTCTGAGGTTGACGACGACGACGACGACGACGACGACGAGGCGGCGGGTGGCCGTCTCTCTCCCACCCGTGCTGAAACCTGTGCACCTGTGCGCCTGTGTGTCGCTTGATCGCACACCTCCACGGCCGCACCCTGGCCCCCCACGTCCAGCCGCCATGGACCCGGCCGCTCCTCGTCGTCCCCACCTCGACACGACCATGCTCGAACCTCTCACAGCAGCCTCGACCGCGACCGCCTCGCCCTCTGGCTCACTCGACAATGACGCCGACGACGACGACCGCGACTCGCTCCTCGACAGCCCCGAGTCCCACTTTGACGACCCGGCCCTCGACCTCGACCACTCGGGCCACGCCCACCACGGCCATGCCTCGCCAGCGTACGACCGCGAGCAGCGCAGGCGCATGCGGCGCATGTACGGCGGCGGACGACACCGCCACCGCGGCCTCCACGCCCCCGGCGCAGGCTGGGACGCAGAGAGCGTCGCCGCCGAGGACGACGAGGGCGAGGGCGAGGGCGCAGTGCGTGCAGGAGAGGGCGGCCGCGTCGGAGAAGTCGCAGGCATGATCACCGCAGCAGCGTGCGTCTCCCCTCTGAGCCCTCTCGTGCCCTGTCGCGAGCCTCGACTGACCCTCGCGCATTCGCTCGCAGCCTCAGCCCCTTCCCCCTCCTCCTTCCTCTCGCCTGCTCCCAGCTCGGGCCGGCCCTCTTCGTCCCCTTGCTCTTCCTTGCGAGTGCACTCGCCTGGCTCGGCGGCGTCGTCATCGGCGTCGAGGGACGATACGTTGGCGCTCGGTGCGTCCCTCTTCTGCCCTTGCACTTCCTGCCTCGTCCGTCGTGCTCCCTGCGGTGCGGCGGGCCAGCTGAGGGTTTTTGGTGGGGCAGGATGTCGTCACTCACGCATCCTCTTGGCCTGCAGCTCGTTCCCGGGTCTCGCGTCGGGCGTCTTCCCGCACCGGTTCAAGCTGCACAAGGTCGGCGAGGTCCTCGCCGCCGCCTTCGTCCTCGGCGGCAGCATCGTCCGCACAGCCCTCGGCGTCGTCGCGACGGCCGAGATCGTCGTCGACGTCGTCGTGCCCGAGCGCAGGAGGAGGGACTGGGAGCGAGGGGTCGCCGTCGGCGTCGTCTGCTTGACTTGGGTGCGTCAGCTACGCCTTCTCCTTCTCTCGCGAGCGGCACATCTCTCGTTGCGGCAGAAGACTGATCATTTGCACCCGCGGCGTCTCGCAGCTCCTCGTCCCGCTCCTCCTTCGCCCGCTCCTCTCCCTCCTCGGCCTGTCCAACCGCTCGGCATCGACCTCGTCCTACGCCCGCCTGTCGTCCACCTCGTCGCCCGACCTCGCCCTCTCGCCCGGCTCTCCCGCCTTCAGCCTCGGGCCCGGCGCATCCTCGTCGGGCGCACCGCCTCGCGCCAGGTGGACCGCCCTCCTGCGCCTCCCGAGCTGGAGCGTCGCCCTCCTGACGTGGCCCGTCGCCCTCGTCGTGTTTGGCGTCCGCATGAAGCAGCTCAACCGCAACGCCGCCTTCCACTCGACGTCGTCGTCGCCGTCGCCGCCCTCGTTCGTCAGCTCGGCCGGCGGCGGGCTCGCCGTCGACTTTCCGTTGCTCGACCCAGCCGACGACCAGGGCATCTCGCTGTGGCCGGCCATCCTCGTCGTCTTTGCGGCGCCCCTCGGCGCGTCGCACGAGGCGTTCTACCACCTCGCGAGCCTCGCGAGGCCGTCGTCGACCGCGTCTCGCGGCGGCGAGTCGCACGCCCGAGCCGGCGCGTTCTCGCTCGTCGCGGCGGCGGGCGCAGGGGACGAGGACGGCGACGCGGGTGCAGCAGGTGCGAGTGCGGGCGCGGGAGCGGGAGGCCGAGGCGGTGAGCGCGAGGGCAAGCGCAACGGGTACCCGCTCGCGCTTCTCGTCGGACACGGCGGCGCGTTCCTCGTCTCGCTCGGCTGGGCCCTCGTCGGCTCGATGTCGCTCCCCTCGTCCCCTCTTCGACCGGCGCCCGCGACCTCGCCCTCGTCCGACCTGTCCGCCCTCGTGCCGCCTGCGCCCAACCTCCTCACGGACGGCCGCCTCCCACGGGCAGACGCCGCGCTCGGCGCCGTGCGGCTCCTCGTCCTCGCCGCGCTCGTCGCGCAGCTCGAGGCCCACGCGGCGGTCGGGGTCGGGCGCGTGCGGCGGGCCGTGCGCGGGCTCGGCGGCGAGGGCGGCAAGGCGCGTGCGGCGAGGCGGACGGCGGCGCGTGTCGTCGTGTGGGCCGCGGTGGCCGGGTTGGCGGCCGTGCTCGTCGCAGTGCCGGCTGTCGCGCGAGGCAGAGGAGGGAAGAAGGGGCCAGGTTGGGCGGGCGAGGGCAAGCACCCGAGGGGTCACGGCGAGGGCATGCTGCGCGTCGCAGAGTGGTGCGGCGTCTTCCTCGGCGGCGTCGGCGGCTGTCTCGTTCCCGGTGCGTCCCTTGTTCTCTCCCCTCGTCGTCCTCGCGTCGCTCTCGGACGAGCGCTCACCCTCTCTCGTTCGCCCGCAGCCATTGCCTACCTCGTCCTGTTCCACCTGCGCCGCCCTCGCTCCATCCTCCTCCCACCCTCGACCTCTCCCTCTGCTTCGACCGACACGTCTGCGTCGACGACCGACGCCCTCCTCGCTCGCAAAGAGCGCCAGATGCAGCGTCGCCTGTCGGGCCGGCGTGTGTGGACCGATGCGGGCGTGTTTGGGTTGCTCGGGCCGGTCGGGGTCCTTTTGGTCGCGAGGGGTGCGGTCGTGCTCATCGGCGGGTGAGGAGCATTTGTAGAACGAGGCATCGAGGGCCGAGTGTATTTCGTTTGCGGCTCGTCGCTGTCTCGATCGGTACGAGAGCGGCTCAGCCTTGCCGTCTATCTTCTCGCTACCGTGCGCCGAGACGGTCTCGTATCGAGCTCAGTCTCACGCCCTGCGCTAGCCGACCGAGGCACTGTCGCGCGCCGCCGCCTCCTCGACAGCCTTCCCAAGTAGCGTCGCCTCCTCTCGCCTGTCAAAGATTCCTCTGCACCGCTTCTTCGCCTGTCAACGCCTTCCGAAGTGTATACAGAGACGCTCGCTGTGCTCGCGCAGCTTGGCTTCCCGCTCGCGAGCTTCAGTCTGCGCTCGTCGCTCGAGCGCTCGAGCCTCGAGGCCAGCCGTGTGAGCGAGCCAGCAGCCGGCCTGGATGAAACGGGAGCAGCACCAAGCCTCTCTCGCGCCCGAACAGACGTACTCGAACAACTCGACGTCACGTTTTCAGTCGCGCGGCTACGCCCTCTTGTCCTCGACCTTGACCGGACCCGCCGCGGCCGGTCCCTGCCCACCGCGCCGCACGACCCACCGCTTGACTTGCTCGACCCCGCTTGCCGCACTCTTGCCGACGCTCGCGCCCCGCTCGGCCCTGCGCCTCGCCTCGGCCCACACGCCCTCGACGCCGTCGCCGACCCGGTCGACGAAGCGCTCGAGGGCGCCGCCGGCGCGGCGCACGCTGTCGCGCGCCGCCGGGTCGACGACCTCGCCGCGGCCGATGGGGCGCAGTGCGCCGGTCGGGCTCGGGGCGAGGGTGCCCGGGCGGGCGTAGATGCCGACGAGGCGCGCGAGGAGGCCGTCGTCGGCGCCGAGGCGGGCGAGGTAGGACGGGAGGCGGCGCTCGAGGGCGCCGAGGGCACGGTGCGCGGTGCGACGGGCGACGACGAGGAGGTGCGAGGGGAGGCGCTGGAGGTGGGCGAGGAAGAGGGAGGGGAGGCGCGAGAGGCGCGAGGGGAGCGCGAGGGTGGCGGCCTGCAGGCGGGACGGGAGGGCCGCGAGGGTCGTGAGGGAGGGTAGGGACGGCGAGGGGAGGCGCGCTGCCACAGGCGCGGCAGGCGCCGAGGGGGACGTCTCGGGCAGGCTCGCGCTCGGCGGCGCCAAGCCCGGCGCCGCGTACCCCTTGACGAACCTCGACCAGTCGACCTCGTCCTCGCCATGCTCTCGGCATCGCCTCGCCGCCGCTCGACGTCGCGCCCCTCGTCCGCCGAGCCCCCACAGGGCGGCGCGCTCGAGCCAGCGGACGAGGGTCGTGCCGGCGCCCTCGCGGGCCCACAGGTGGGTCGTCAGGATGGGGACGGCCTCGATGACGTCGCCGGGAGCGCCGAGGGTGCGGCGGGTGGTGCGTCGGCGCAGGAGGCCGAGGATGGAGGACGAGGGGGAGGAAGCGGACGAGGGGAGGGCGAGTGGGAGGGTGAGGGCCGAGAGGCGGTGGGCGAGGACCATGTCGGTCGCGAGGCGGTCGCCAATGACGAGGATGCGGGTGCGCTTGCGGCGGTGGGGGAGGGCGTCGGCGGGAGAAGGGGCGTGTTGTTGGAAGGAGGAGGGGGAGGGGGACGACGCGAGGCGGGCGCGTGCGAGGGGCGAGAAGACGACCTGGCCGACCTGGGCCGTCGTAGTCGACAGACCGACATGGTCGTCGTGCGCAGGTGGGCGCGCGAGGTGGTCGCGGCTGGCGAGAAAGTGGGCCGCGACCTGGTGGACGCAGGCGTGGGCGGGTTTCGGGCTCGGGTGGACGAGGACGGGTACGCCGAGGTTGCGCGACAGGGCTTGAGCCTGGATGGTGAGCGGGTCCTTTCTCGAGTCGCCTGCCGAGTTGGACACGACGAGGACGTTGGCGGGCCCAAAGGTGTCGACGAGGTCTTGCCAGGCTCGACGGAGGTTTGGGTCGTCGGCGAGCGAGTCGGAGCGTGGTTGGGCGATGCAGTTGTCCTTGTCGATGACGACGGCGTCGACTTGGGCGTCGTTGCGGAGCTTTGCGAGGTCGAGCGAGGCGATCGAAGGGACGCGGAGGGCGGGTTGGAGGATGTGAGGGCGCACGAGGGCGACGAGGGTGGCTTGGATCCCAGGCCAGTTGGTCATGGCTGCACTGCGCTGCCACGCTACAGCAGGTGCGAGGGAGAGAGGGACGTTCACTCTGAGCAAGCCTCCTCGTCGCTCGCTCTCATCTCGGCCGCCTCCACTCTCTCTCTCTCTCTCTCTCGCCCGCACACCTCTCGACGAGCCAGCAAGCCGACCAGCACCCGCCATGCTGCCACCCGACACTGCCGAGCGCGACTCGTCCCCCGACTCGGACGTGGCCTCGCCCGACGACGACGCCCTCTCGTCGCGGCTCCACCTCCCGCCGCACTCGCTCGTGTCGGCCGACCAGGCGTACGAGGGCGACACCCCAAACGTCCTCGCAGACCACTTGTTCCTGCGACCGCAACCCCCCTCGCGCACCTCGTCCTGGCACTCGATCCTCAACCACCACGCGGTGCCGCCATCCCCACCCCCCACACCTCCTCGCTCCACCTCGCACCACCACCAGCCCGCCCACTCAAAGAGCAAGAGCCGCACCCGCAACCTCAAGTGGTACCGCCGCCCCTCGCCCATCTGGTTCTTCCCCGGCACGTTCCTCCTCGCAATGTCGGGCGGCATGATCATCTCGCCCAAACTCGAAATCTACACCCAGCTCATCTGCCGCGCCATGCCCGTCGAGAAATCCCACGTCTCGCTCCCACCCCCGGTCCTCGACGCCCAACCCGTCTCGGCCATCAACCCCGTCGCCGGCGCGCCCATCTCGACCAAGCCCGACTTCAACTCGACCACCTCGCACGCCCGCAACGACCGCCTCTTCTTCGAGTGGTCCGCATCCCCCGCCCCCGTCCTCGGCGTCGACCACGACCGCGACGGCCACCTCGACCTCGACTCGGCCCAGGCCACCACCAACGGCGACTCGTGGAGCCTCCAGTGCCAGAAGTCGAGCGCCGTACAGGCTGCCGTCGCTCAACTCGTGCGTCCCCCTCCTCGTCCTCCTTCCCCTCCCCTCGTCGTCGTCGTCGTCGTCGTCGTCGCGCGCCCCCACCTGACCTTGGTCCCGCCTCACCTGCAGGCTCTCGTCCTCGCCCTCATGATGGGCGTCCTCTCGGCCCTCACGACTGGCTGGTGGGGCGCCTTCTCGGACCGCCGCGGTCGCAAGCCCGTCCTCCTCTTGGCCCTGTGCGGCACCGTCATGATGGACTCGGTCTTCCTCCTGTCCGTCCCCTCTTTCTCCCCCCCTCTCTCCTCGAATGCGCACTGACAATCTCCCTCTCCAACAGCGTCGTCAACTTTCACTCGACCCTGTCGTACAACTTCCTCTTTGTCGGGCCCTTCCTCGACGGCGTCGTCGGCGGCTGGGCGTGCGTCCTCCTCTCCCTCCCTCCCTCCCTCCCTCCCTCCATCGGCCGGTGCCTAGAGGGCGACCAGGAGCGCGATCCTCTGAAGACTGAGCGGGTCGTCTGCGGCGCCCGAGCGCGGCCCGCCCTTGACGGGCGCGGAGGCGGAGCGAGAGTAGGTCGCAGCGACGTTCTCCACGTTGACAGCCGAAGAACCGGTTCAGTAGTGGTATTGCACAGCGAGTATAAAGGGTGAGTGGAAAACACGAAACGTGACCTCAGGGCGATGAGCGAGGTGTCCGCCCCGCCTAGAGACTATCAACAGCAAACGCATGTGTAGCAAGA